GACTTTTACTTCCTCTAAATGACCGGGTTTGACCAGCTTTCCGGCGCGGGGGGTCGTTGCCAACCCTCCTGCGCCAGTCCGGAGGCCTCACCGAGCCATTCAATCGGTAGTAGCGACGGGCGGTGTGTACAAAGGGCAGGGACGTAATCGGCACGAGCTGATGACTCGTGCCTACTAGGCATTCCTCGTTGAAGAGCAATAATTGCAATGCTCTATCCCCAGCACGACAGGGTTTAACAAGATTACCCAGGCCTCTCGGCCAAGGTGATGTACTCGCTGGCCCTGTCAGTGTAGCGCGCGTGCGGCCCAGAACATCTAAGGGCATCACAGACCTGTTATTGCCGCGCACTTCCATCGGCTTGAGCCGATAGTCCCCCTAAGAAGCCAGCGGCCCGCAGACGCGGACCGGGCTATTTAGGGCCGAGGTCTCGTTCGTTATCGCAATTAAGCAGACAAATCACTCCACCAACTAAGAACGGCCATGCACCACCATCCAAAAGATCAAGAAAGAGCTCTCAATCTGTCAATCCTTATTTTGTCTGGACCTGGTGAGTTTCCCCGTGTTGAGTCAAATTAAGCCGCAGGCTCCACGCCTTGTGGTGCCCTTCCGTCAATTTCTTTAAGTTTCAGCCTTGCGACCATACTCCCCCCAGAACCCAAAAACTTTGATTTCTCGTAAGGTGCCGAACGGGTCATCATAGAAACGCCGTCCGATCCCTAGTCGGCATAGTTTATGGTTAAGACTACGACGGTATCTGATCGTCTTCGATCCCCTAACTTTCGTTCCCTGATTAATGAAAACATCCTTGGCGAATGCTTTCGCAGTAGTTAGTCTTCAGCAAATCCAAGAATTTCACCTCTGACAGCTGAATACTGACGCCCCCGACTATCCCTATTAATCATTACGGCGGTCCTAGAAACCAACAAAATAGAACCGCACGTCCTATTCTATTATTCCATGCTAATGTATCCGAGCAAAGGCCTGCTTTGAACACTCTAATTTTTTCACAGTAAAAGTCCTGGTTCCCCCCACAGCCAGTGAAGGCCATGGGGCTCCCCAGAAGGAAAGGTCCAGCCGGACCAGTACTCGCGGTGAGGCGGACCGGCCAGCCAGACCCAAGGTTCAACTACGAGCTTTTTAACTGCAACAACTTTAATATACGCTATTGGAGCTGGAATTACCGCGGCTGCTGGCACCAGACTTGCCCTCCAATTGTTCCTCGTTAAGGGATTTAAATTGTTCTCATTCCAATTACGAGACCCAAAAGAGCCCCGTATCAGTATTTATTGTCACTACCTCCCCGTGTCGGGATTGGGTAATTTGCGCGCCTGCTGCCTTCCTTGGATGTGGTAGCCGTTTCTCAGGCTCCCTCTCCGGAATCGAACCCTAATTCCCCGTTACCCGTTGCCACCATGGTAGGCCACTATCCTACCATCGAAAGTTGATAGGGCAGAAATTTGAATGAACCATCGCCGGCGCAAGGCCATGCGATTCGTTAAGTTATTATGAATCACCAAGGAGCCCCGAGGGGCATTGGTTTTTTATCTAATAAATACACCCCTTCCGAAGTCGAGGTTTTCAGCATGTATTAGCTCTAGAATTACCACAGGTATCCATGTAGTAAGGTACTATCAAATAAACGATAACTGATTTAATGAGCCATTCGCAGTTTCACCGTACAATTGCTTATACTTAGACATGCATGGCTTAATCTTTGAGACAAGCATATGACTACTGGCAGAATCAACCAGATACCTTGGTCCTCTCGGGGCACACCCGCGGCTCTTGAGCCCCGGGGGCACCCCCAGCCGCCCCCCGCGAAGGGAGGCAGAACGCACGTCGGTTTTCACTCTGGAAGGGGCAGGTCCCCCCGCGACCGTCGCGCCTCGTCCCAGCGTACTGGGCGGGCACAGGCCGGCCGAAGGAGGGGCCCACCCGACCGTCGCGCCGCGTCCCAGCGTACTGGGCGGGCACAGGCCGGTCATCCGATTGCCCCCACTGTTAGCCCTCCAGGCACCGATCCGCACGCAGGGCCCGCTGAATCCCCGGGGGGAGTGCAACGGCCTGCGGCATCCGGGCCTCGTTCGGGGAGTCTCACCCAGCAGTCACGCCGGCGAACGGCGGCTACTGAAGGGCGGCGCACCCCATGGACTGGGACGTTGGCGAAGGACATGGCGAGCCGCCACGAACCCACACCGACCCGGACCACGCCGGGGGCCCAGCACACGCATAGGCCCCGGGACTTAACACCCCCGTCGGGGCACCCCTCCGGGTGGGAGGGATGCGCTTCCGGGGATGCCCGACCGCAATTCCTTGCTGAAGCCCAACCGCAGAAGGCTCAAGACCATCAGCGCGGACAAAGCGGCCTGTCAAGTATGGAAGAAAGCGCAGGGGGTCTTCCTTGGCTCCTCACCAAGTACTAGCCTTCCTACACATACCCACCGACCCCTGGTGGGGGGCGATTTGGCGCGCAAACGTGAAGTCGTGCAAAAGTTGCTGGGGGGGGAGCGGTTTTGTATGTGGTGGTCCGTGCGCTCCATACAAACTGGGCCGCCGGACTGGCCCGTTCGGCCGCATAAGGCTGGCGCGGCCGACCCGCCGCCGCCGCTCGCTGCGGGAGCCCCCGGGACCTCGCTGGCGCGCGGGGGCCCCCGACCTCGCCGTCGCCGCCCCCCCCCCGGACGATCACGTGATCACCCCCGGGCGCCGGCCCCCCCGCGGTCGGCCCCCCGGGACGGTCACGTGACTATCCCCCGGCGCCCGCCGCTCCCGCGTCCCCCACCCCCATCG